AATGTCGATGGTTCGCATCCCGGTGAGGACACCCAGGATCTTTCTGCGTGAAGTTTACATATTCTCCCCGTGCAGCGTGGGTTCTCTCTGGGTTCTCCGGCTTCCTCCCACAAGTACAAAAACATGTTGAGGTTAATTGGTGATTCTAAATTGTCCGTAGGTGTGAATGTGAGTGTGCTTGGTTGTCTGTCTCTAAGTGTAGCCCTGTGATAGACTGGCGACCTGTCCAGGGTGTCCCCTGCCTTCGCCCTGAGTCAGCTGGGATAGACTCCAGCCCCCCACAACCCTAGTGAGGATTAAGCGGTGTATAGATAATGGATGGATGGATAGATGGATGGATGGTTTCAACCCTATCATAAACTGTTTCAGCGTTTGTAGCTTTTATCCAGCTGACCTGCTGCTGGCCATGCCTATTTCAGGAAGAAAACTGTCCCTGAGTCTGTGATTTATAAACTATGGCTGAACTCACAACAAAGCTGTTGTTTTTACCTCATGTATATGGTGAGTTTGTCAGACGATGTTGTGGGTAAAAAACTAGTAGGAGGAAATGCAATGAAGTGACTGGTGGTTAACATGTTGTCTTAATGGGCTGCATTTTAGTTACTATTTCACACTTGTGTTGTTGTCTAGGCAAGAGAAACAGAAAGCATTTTACTGCATTAAAATACAGGATTTGTTAGCACAGTTAGCAGGAGAGACGTAAACAGATGTAAACGCTGACTGAGTTTAAGTTGTACCGAAGCACAACAGACATGCAAACACACTAACACATCCAGTCCTTGTTAAGTGTCTTAAATGTGGTCTTAAGGTTTACACCATCTCTGAATGACCCCCAGCTTTACAGATTCCACTGAACTGTGACCTGACATACATTGAGAGCAAATGGAAATATTAGTCAAACGACCAACACAATGCACTGACATTGAAGATTTTCCTATTGTTATCATGCCATTGCCATCAATAACAAAAGCAATGCACTGGATCCTCAGCTCTTCACATGCTGGGAGTGCATGAAGACTCATGTGTTTGCTTTAGCAGCCAACAGCAGAACATCTGGTATGTTTTTCTCATTGGTTGAAACATTTTAGACTTAACAAAAGCATTTCTGGAAAGGAAAAAAGCCTGTGAGGCAGCTGCTCATTCTTGACCCATCTTGCAAGCAATGGACAGTGAGGGGCCAATAACAAGCAAACCATAAGCTGGATGACTACTGGCTCATTTTTGGAACACAGCAGCTTAGTAACGTTCTCTCTGGCTTGTAAAGCTGGTTGGCTGAATAGTTGGACAAGGGCTTGACGAATGGCAGAAGTAGATGCCCTCATGTTCAGATCCTAATAGTTTTTACTTTACACCTCTGAATTGATAACAACAACAAAACGGAACAAAAACTTATTTTCACTATATGGAAACTTAAAAGAAAGAAAACAATACCGAGCAATTGCACGTCTTAAGGCAGTACTTGACTCATCATATCTACAAGGACCAAAAATTGATTCACCAATAATTAATAACTGTAACTGTAAAATAGTGTAGCTGAGTATGAAGCACAATATTTCCCTCCTAAAATGCATTTATGTAGATGTAGAAAATAGTCAAGTAAAGTCCAAGAATGTTAACATTCTAAAGTTAATCTAAATAGATGTACTTGATTCCTTCCCACCACTGATTCATAAGACAAAATGTATACTCTCTAAAAAAATTTCTTGAAATTAAATCAGTACTTCAAAGTACACATGCCATTTTTGTCACAAAAACACATTTTAAACACAGGATGCGCTCCTAACAAGATTTTGCTGCACTGTTGGCTACAGGCATGGGATAACAGTGATGGATAACAGTCATAACCTACCAACAAGGTAAAGATGGAAACAATCTGTAGAAACAACTATAAGGATAAGAAAAGTAATTGTTCAAGTTTGAAAACAAAATAAGGTGCCGAGAAAGAAAATAGTAAGATGTAGATGGAGACTTAAAGCAGATTCGAGTCAGCTGTAGCAGCGGTGTGAATGTCTCTAGAAGCAATTAGAGTGTGACTGATCGGGAAGGAGGGAGTGAAAATGGAGCTTAGCAAGTGGAGGGTGACATAAGCATTAATCTAGACAGGTATGAGGTAACGGCACTGCTAAGTGTACTGTAAATTGGATGTGTCTTTTTTTTAATTATTCTAAAAAGATGTCATACGGTTTTATTGAGTTGACAGGGTTAGGAGTCATTATGTGACAATAATGTAAATCGAAGAACAGGATGATATTAAGTGTCAAATTAACAAGTAGTGACATTATATTCAGGCAAAGAAACATTATATTAAGGTTACATTAACCCAGAAACATCATATTTCATAGGGTGTAATGTGTGGGGGATGTGCTGTTTTATTTATAGCAAAAGCTCAGTAAATCTGTTCTATCCACAATATAGCATATGGAAACTATAACATAAACGTGATACTCAGTTGAACTGGCTGTCACAGAGTTATTAAAGGATTTGCAGTGGCGACATACGATGATGCCTGGTGGCTGGTTTGTGACACACTTCATAAGCACATAAAACTTCCAAGCCTCATATGTGGGATATTTTTCATCTTTTGATCCACATAACTGAAAAGCAGTCACTTTGGTTTTTCAAAGTGACTGCTTATTTTTAGTTAATTTTAATCAGTGTGAGCTGTTGGATGTGTGGTGACATTTGTCATTTTTATAAAACAGAACACATTTAGTGTAATGGAATGGGCTTTTCCACCATAATACCATTAACAGAGTTTCCTAAAGTGATTTGGAAGACAGCTCCAGTGTTCACACCAGTAGTCACATTATCATACCTTTATATGTTATGTGTGTGTGTGTGTGTGTGTGTGTGTGTGTGTGTATATGTATACTTTTGATGTTAGATTCTTCCATTCCAGATCCATCACTATCCGTACTCTTGTTGATATCCTTCTGTATTTGTTACAATTGATCAGTTCTGTGCTTTGCAATTTCTTTCCTGTTAACTGACGCTCAGTGGGAGGGAAAGAGAATTAAAGGCTGATTTATGCTTGTTGTTGACTTTTTTATCAGCATGTGTGAAAACTCCCAATGGCAACCTCCAGACAAAGGTTGATGTGTTAAGAGCCATGATATGTGCACAGTTACTTTATGTGCTTCAGCACAGGTAACACATGAGATGCAAGAAAGCATCTGAAATGCATGTTTTACATTTTAAACTAGAGACTTATTTAATGTTGACAGCAGGAGTATGGGACTATTATAGTCAGCCATGCAAAAATGTACAGTATGCTGCTGCTGTAACTTTCTGAAATTGGTAAATGCAAAGCTTTTCACCTGAAAATGGATGGTTCCTTGACTTGAGTCGACTGGTTGTGTTAATCCGGGCAGTGGTGGAGCTTGCCAAGAAGCAGTGGGGAGTGAACTGGCTGCAGTCACAGCAGAAGTGTTGCACAAAGCCAAAGTAGTATTAGAATATTTTTGATCATTTATCAAATGAATGATGTTCAAATAACAATAGCAGCATAAAATTCTCCTGAGCTTATTAATGTTACAGTTGACTAATCAACAACTTTCATACATGCAACACCATCAGGGAAGCATCTGATCACTTACAAATGTATTGTGAAGCCAAACAATAACACCAAACACATAGTCAGAAAATAAGGCTCCCACACACATTGTCACATCGTACACCTGCAGAAGAAATGTGCATTCTTGGAACATCCCACCTGCCAACTACCTTTAAAAATTATGCTCAAGTAGTATTGGTGCTATTCCAAAGAGTAGTCTCTCTCTCTCTCACACACACACACACACACACACACACACAAACACATGCACGCACGCACGCACGCACGCACGCACGCACACACACATACAACTTCCTTTTTCTCTTGACAGCCACTTGTATGAAACTGAATTATACATACAAATAATTCATGGATATTTCTGAAAGCAGCCTTATTTTTCTTTGAGTGCTCTTTTTTCCCCCCGTTTGTTTGAAGTGAAGCTCTCGTACTCACAAATAGTTGTGTTTAAGTGCTGCCTGTTTGTGATACATGAGGACTGATTCCTACATACTTTCTCTTGCTTGTAGATATTTTGACCACTAATACTCACATAGGGCAATATTTGTTATTATTGTTATTATTATTTTATTATTATTAAATGCTCTGCTAGCCTGCACATTAGGATGTATACACAGACTCACAGGTACATGGGTGACGTGACAACAATCGGTAAGAAAAGGTGTAGTTCATGCAAGTAATGCTTCCTATTGATCAGCAGTTGGTGGTTGTTATGTACCAAGAGTAAAACTGCAAAAAGCAAAGAATGGGATAGAAAGAACATAAAAGGCTGCTACCAAATTTAAACAAATTAAATGTTTTTGCAGATTTTCATGAGGAAAGAAGAGCATTGATCCTCTTTGCTACGCCTCAATGATGTGCACAGTATGCTTTCAAATTAAACACAAAACTGCTTTTTCAAAATAATATCCCTTTTCCTTCAAAAAGAGTAAAGTTAATAGTATTTTTTGTATCAATACCTGTATGTCAACATTATGAAAAGGTTTTTTTGTGCTACACTATTACAGTAGTTGCACAATATAGTTGAGATCTCTAAAGGAAATCTTTTTCAACTTGGATAAACACTGATCACAACATAATGTGGTAAATGTCGACTTGAAGTTTTGTGTCTCTGAATGTTTTGATTTTCCTCTTTGGTTCACTGAAGACACCAGGATTTTTATAAGGTTATAATCAGATGAGATGGAATCTGACAGAAACCTCTGACATCATTTTGTACACATTTGGTAACTGCTCTATAATTTAAAACAATGATTGACCCATTACTTGGTGCAGCACGGTTTTAGAGATCAATAGACGAGCTGCTTGTGTAAACAATCACTGCGAGAATAACAGATTATTCCACAGCAATAACCCGTAGCCATTTTTCCTGCTTGCAAAGATGTACACAAGAACATTCAAACGCTGCTGTCTTGTTCTTGTTTTGCAGGGCCTGTTCTTGGCCTTCGTCACTCACAGCTAATGGATGTCTTTACCCAGTATGCCTACAATGACAGCTTCTACGAGAACGGAACATGGAGCTTCAACGAGACAGAGCGCGAGCAGAAGCACCCGTACAACTACTACGCCATGCTGCTCACTCTGCTCATCTTTGTCATCGTCTTCGGCAACGTGCTGGTGTGCATGGCTGTGTCCAGGGAGAAGGCTCTGCAGACCACCACCAACTACCTGATTGTCAGCCTGGCTGTCGCTGACCTTCTGGTGGCCACGCTGGTGATGCCCTGGGTCGTCTACTTGGAGGTAGGATAGTAGAGATGTACACACACACTCTCTCACACACACACACACTATTTACACACACATACAGTCTTTGTACAGATTCGAAGAGACATAAATAGCTTGACATGCCCTATGCAGCAGACATGCCTTGTTATCTCTGTGCCTTCTTAAGCCCCTTCGCTCTGTGCTTTAGGAAACAGAAGATACAGATGAGTGATGAAAAGATGATTTGCAGTGTATCAGCTAGTGCAGCAATTGTTTTTGTATTATCTCTGATATCACAAATGTGTATATTATGAACAAAACATCAAAAGGTAGCCACTGAAAGCAATTACGACTTCAATTTTCCAAAGAAAATGACAAGACAGACTTAAAAGGCACTATTGGTGTATGACAGGCATTTATGTGAAATTTAGCGCTAGTAAAATACTATTTGAGTGAAGCAGGCTGCCCACAGTTATCTGCAGGTCAGAGGCTCAAGGTGAAGCAAAGGGGGAAGGCTAATGTGTTCACATCTGCCTTGTAAACATCAGTCTCGCGGTGGTTAAAAGCCCGGAATGTAGCCCGGTGATGTGACAACGGCAAAATGTCAGAGCAGTCTGGTTCATCAGAGGTCAGTTGTTTATGAATAATTTAATCTAATTCTGAGATACCTCATTTTGCATTCGCTCCTGTTTGGGATAATGCAGACCCCCTTTAAAAAAGAAAAGAAAAGAAAGAAATAAAGAAAGAAAAACAAAAAAGCAGTTATGACACACCAAAAACCTAAAGGAGAGCCCAGACTTTGGGTCAAGCATAAAATCATGTCTAATTTATCAAATCAATAGCAAGCAGGATGCGGGCTATCTTTCTGAAAAACATCTCTCTGCTGCATCTCTCTCATCTCTTGTATCTGTCTTCTCTGTCCTGGGGTTATTTCTGACCATTAGGCTTTAGGTCACGCTGTCTGATGTAGAGAAAGGCAATCTAAGACTACAGGGACTCTAATCCCCCGTGTCTCGCAGTGAGTCATGATGATTATCACTGTGATCAGATTACAGTGCATCCATAGAATGTCATAGTCCGTATTTGTACATGAAACCCAGGGGTGATTGTAAATGTGTCACTCTGTAGCAGTAATCCGACATCCGCAGACAGTACATTAACCTACTGAAAGTACATTTTGTCCAATTAAACAAACAAACAAACAAAAAAATCATCATTGGCGCTAATTCTCAGGCTGAAGTTTGTTTATCTATGCAACCTGCATACTGTGTTTGTTTTTACCAGAATGATTTACCTGCTTTCTCTGATGATGTGTGCAGCTGGGTGCACGCAGAAGGGAGCCGACATCAAACCAGATTGGAAATGTGGGAGTTGAATTGTTATCAGCCACATATCAAAGCCCCAAACTGTAGCATGAAACTTTCTCAATAAAATATTGAAATTGATATCATAGCGGAAAAGTAAGCCTTTGATGTTGCGAAGCAGTTTAATTGCACAGGTGCGTGTTGCGAAGTTTAGATGATGCATTTTGGAGCGTGATGAGTGCTGGAAATGCTGTGAAACTTCCGCGATTCACAGCATGTGTCTGGACACAAAACTGACAGTTGCGTCGCCTGCAACTCTATATAAATATAGCATCGGATTACAAGACCACTGACTCAGTTGCTTCTGTTGGCACCCTCGGCGTCTCCCTGCTTCTGTTGATCACAGATTCTGTGGCAAATTAATTCCTGTGAGCTGTAGGAATTGAAATCTAGATGGAAGATGCGAGAATAATATCATTATTTACATTTAGGTGAAGACATGACTACAGTTTTGTACCGTCTGCCTGAACACTTGTTTGGGGGTGCGTGTGAGGTGACTCACACCTACTGCTGTGTTTTTTGTTTCCTGTTCAAGCTGTGACAAGGACAGGGAAAAAAACACATTTAGGCAGTTTTCTGCACTGAGAAAGTCTAAAACCTCTAAACCCCACAACCCACTGGCCAGTCGGAAAGGCATTTTTATTTGTCACACCACTGATCAGAGCCAGAATCTGAAAAACAGAAAGAATAGTTGAATTTACAACTATCTGACAGTTCTTAAACCACTTATCTGTGATTTGCCGTTCTGTTGGAAAACTTTTTCACAATCTAAGCTTAAAGTTTTGATATTTTACCAAAAATCCCTTTATTTCAGATGTCACATTTTAAAAATAGGTCAAAATAAAAGACAACCATGAAGTCATTAGAGGCTCAGCTACAGCTAACAGTCAACTGACAAAAATGTTGTAACTACTCAGCTGAACTGCAGGCTTTTACACAGCGCAAACAAGTATAGATGCACATTAAAATGTTAGAAGTTGCCTAAAATATATATAGTATGTAGAGTTTTTTGTTGTTGTTGTTGTTTTTCTTTTCTAGTATCAGTAACACCTGTG